TGGGCCACAAAAGATCGGCTTTCTGAGAAACCTTGGAGTCCACAGACTTTAACTTAAATTTATGGATCCCAGTCATTGGGCCCACCATTTAATTTAATGGTCCCACCCAAACACCCAGAATACAAGTGACATCAGTCTTTGGAACAGGCGAGGCGAATCGAGGTGAGGGGCCTATATCCCTCCTCACCTTATCGAATGAGTTCCACAAATAGATCAAGCCGAGTTCTGGAAAATCCAAGGATATTGTTCTAACTATTCTAAGTTCCTTGGGAAAGTCCCAGAGCTGACTGCTGTGCCCAGTTTATACGGTACAACAGCGCCAAACACCCTCGGTTCATATCCCCCCCCCCCCCCCAAACCCCTTTCAAATATAAAAAAGACCATGGAGTTTTGACATGAAATAAAATCTTTTCAAACATTAATTCTTTTTCTGGACAAAGCTAGGCCTAGGTCTAGGCTTGTAGATCAATCGAGTAGTTTCTTTTCTTTTTTTTTTTGTAAACTGTTACTCTCTTGATCTTGTGTTACAGATGTCAGATGTATTGACATAATATTAGTGATATATGAGAAGTTTCAAAGCCGAATGAAAACTCTTCAGATTTCTTCCACCAATCTCCATATTTATGTCTCTTAGTGAATATAAAAAGTATTTTAAATTTAAGAGCAGGCTGTAATGTCTCAGACTAGAGCACACATGATTAATTCATGAATATTAGTAATCCAAGTGTGGCCTAGGATCTTTTAAATTCCAAACCAAATTTGTGTCATGTCCGGTCTTTACAGTAGGCGACTTTACACCTACACCCGGATGCCGGATACAGAACGACACAGGACTCCACTGACTGAAAAAGTTTAGAAACTTTAGATCTACTTGCTGAACTTGCTGCTAGGCCTAGGCCCTAGATCTAGATTATAGATCTACTAGACTACTACACTTCTAAAGAGGAACTTGGAATAGACCGGTCAAAGATTCGTCAGTATCAGTTTCATTCAGGTGCGTGTAAACTGTGTGTTGTATTTAAATAACATTACGTTTATATTTGGAATGTCGTGCTGAACACAGTAAAAGTAGGCTACTCTTTGTTGTTCTATGAATGAATCTATGGCAGGCATTTCCTACCTAGGCCTAACCTAAGTTGAATGTTCAAGGAAATGATTCTTCAAGACAATGACAGTAAATCTTCCCTAAATCTAGAATCTAGATAGATCTAGATCTAGATCTAGATCAAGAGATGAGATGTGTACATAACAAAGCCAACAAAAGTTTACAAGTAAGCTTTTAGTTTTAGTGTGTGGTAAGGTCATGATGTAAGTGCCGAAGATCAGAAGTATTACAAGAGAGTAACAGTAACAAACACAAAAAAAGGAGGGGAGATAAAGACGATAGATGTTTGAAAGGAAAGAAGGAGCAAACCACACCAACCAAAGTACAACTTTTTATCATTTTTATTTAGGCCGGCACTATTTCTCCGAACGTTCGGGAAAATAAAGCTGGGCACTATTTCTCCGAACGTTCGGGAAAATAAAGCTGGGCACTATTTCTCCGAACACTCTGAAATATCATCCTTTCCCCCAAATTTCGGATATTATATAGATCTATAATTATAGTATGGGCCTACCATAGATTGTTCGTATACAATATGGTTCAATCGGTCCAAAAAATGTCCGCCGTAAATATTTATATAAAGAAATGCTACAATTCCAAACAGTTTTTCGCTATAGATATGACGTGTTGCCTATGAAAGGTGCTGCTTTTAAACGTAATGTGTTGTGTTCACTCGTGTGCTGTCTAGATCTAGATCTACGGAGGGTTATTGATGACTACACATAGAACTGGCATCTGCGTTTGTCACTGCTGCGACCAATGTACTGACACTGGCAAGCCCCTTAATGTGTGTGATTCCATAATTTACATGTAATATCCTGTACTTTTTTTTAAAAATTACGCACATTTAGGGTTAAAACTGCCAATCTTCTTCGGACAGGTGGACACACGCCCTTATTTGTTAATGTTTGTTGTTGTTTATGGGCTGTTCTAATTTTGATTTCTTTCTGTTATGAAACCTTTCTTTTTCACGTTTTTACACTCATCTAAAAATCTCATCTAGACTAGCTGTTGAAAATTGAAATAGATATAGACCCAAAAATTTGCTCCTGTGTGTGTGTGTGTATGTGTGTGTGTGTGTGTGTGTGTGTGTGTGTGTGTGTGTATGTATGTGTGAGTGTTTGAGTGTGTCTGTGTGTGGTAGTAAGTGGAGAGTGAGGAGTGTGTGTGTGTGTTTGTTTGTTTTTCGGGCTTTATTTCAGCCTTTATTCAGTAACAGTTCAAAGTATACAAAAATAGAAACACAGGATCCATTCACTCCAGGACTCATGAGTCATTCGTCTCTTTCAGTTTCACTCTTTCATTCAATTCCCGTGTTCTCTCCCGCGGCTCATCCCCGTCCGCATGACTTTCATACCCCACCCCATCCCTCCAGGCACACACAAAGAAAATCTCACTTGTTCCCTGCGAACCATGGACAATAATATAGGCAAAACACCGCCTGAGCTGCATTCCTTTTGTTCGTGAGCTGTGGACCAGGCCAGGGGTGGTCAGTGTCGTCGTCTTTTAGTTGCTGTCGCCTGTGGATACACTCGCACATTCTTCCTTTCACCCGCTCTTTCACTCACACTGTCTCTCCATCCACAGTTCAGCTCGTCATACGTTCAAAAGTTGCCCACTAGTTATGTTTAGTTAGTGTGTGTACATGTGCATGATGGTGGTGGGTGTGTGGTGGGTGTTACTGAAGGTTGTCTGTAGGCGGGCTTGCCATGCGGTACGTGTTCCTTCCCAGACCAGAGGCAGAGGCAGAATGAAAGTTGGCGCTAGAGGTGTGCGAGTAACGAGTCCAGGCTCGAGTACTCGAGTAATACATGCGGCGAGTCCAGACTCGAGTCACAAGTAAATTACTCGAGTAAGGACTCGAGTAAGGACTCGAGTAAGGACTCGAGTCCAGACTCGAGTCTGTAGGGGGGAAAACAGAGAAAAGGAGAAAAATTTTGTTTTTAAAAAAGTTAAGAATTGATAAAAGAAAAATTCTGATAAGCAATTTTTTAAAACTGAAGGAAAAGGAAAAAAACCCACCAAAAATACCCCTTCCCCAAAGGAAAAAACCGACCCCCCCCCCCCCCAGAAAAAAGCAAAAAGGAAACCACTGTTAGAAACCCACGATGACCAATCAAACTTCTTTCTTTTATTAAGTGCATTGTCTGAGGTTTGTGTACATTTTATTCTTACTGTTGTAACAAAGAATTATTTTTAAAAAATAAAAAAATAAGATAAGATAAGATGAAGACTACCTCTATTCTAGCTCAGTTGTTATACAGTTGTAAGCTTCTCACTCACCCGGGGTGAGAGAGCGAGCCTTTTGGCTATTCTCTTCATGTGTGCGTTTACCGTGATGTGATACCCAGTGTAAACCACAGAATTCTAGATCTACACTTTTTTAAAATTGAATTCTGTAGTGTAAACAAACGTTCCAGTCCTCATGTGTTACAAACATGCAATTTTATCTGCGGGCATTGAAAGAGAGAGAGAGAGAGAGAGAGAGAGAGATAGAGAGGAGTAGCCTAGATATAGCGAGAACTTCTGGGCAAAACAAAATGCCGATTAGGGTAGTTCGGCTCTATTCTAAAAGTGAAACAGCCGTAGCATCATTGTAGACCACCAAATTAGTTTTACTTTTGTGTTATAATATCATTTTTTTAAAAAGGGGTTTGTCTATTTAATCATCCTCACCGATAGGAAGTATTCAGAAATTAGGAACACCCGGTTTTGTTTCACAGCGGGTGAGAATAGCCAACACTGGCTAGTCTCACCCGGGGTGAGAGGTCGATCACATTTTTATTCTCACCTGGGGTGAGAATAGCCACTTCCTAAGATAAAATAAAATAAATACGGTATAAACAGCATATGTCTAGAATTGCCATAAGCCAACTCAAGCTCCCTCCTAGGAAGGCACTCTATTTTCTGTCCGATATTCAACAAAACCTTTTTTGAAACCCACTAAAATTCCCTTTCGGGATACTATAACTCGAGTCTTAAGAGCCGTGGGACTCGAGTAATTACTCGAGTAATTACTCGAGTCCAGAGCAGATACTCGAGTCTGGACTCGAATCTTAATATGCTGGACTCGCACACCTCTAGTTGGCGCCGAACTCTCGCAATAAATAGGCAAAAAATCACGAGACCGGAAGCCGAAAACCGTTCGGAGAAATAAAGATCGGCACTATTTCTCCGAACGTTCGGAGAAATAGTCACTTCGTTTTATTTATGGGTGTCTGATTGTTGGGGTGTAGATTCTAGATCTAGATCTAGATCTAGATCTAGAGTCTAGATCTAGATCTAGAGTCTAGATCTAGATATAGATCATATATAGATCTAGATTCTAGATAGATCTATATATTAGATCTAGAATCTAATCTAGATTTCTAGATACTTAAGTACGGCTAGACTCGCAGTCTAGCCGTACTTATTCTTAATATGATGGCTAGACTCACCATTTACAAAAAATAGGCCTACTGAATTGTAAATATACATTTTTTGTGTGCAGTACCTAAAGTATATTTGTATTTGAGACGAAACCAGGTGCCGGCTTAATGACAGTGCATGTATTTTAAACCTCCTGTTTTCTAATGTTAATAGGGCCTAAGACAAGTACGGCTAGACTGGCAGTACAGAATATAGATATCTAGATCTAGATCTAGATCTAGATTTTAGACTTCTAGATCTAGATCTAGTCTTCTTGGTCTACGGGCGAGTTTGAGTCAGTGAGTGATTGACTGTTTACAAGTGACTAATTCAATTTCCTTTCCAAACTTAGGATATATCTCTAATCTAAATCTTGGTCTAGAATCTAGATCTATTCTAGATTTAGATCTAGAAACAATACATTTAGATCTATGTATTTTTGGGAATTTGCAAATTCTATTTTTGGAAAATTTTGGTTAGAAGGTGAAATACCCCACTCTACCACCTGTAACTGATTGTCTGCTGGGAAAGACTAAAGTGATTTTTTAAGTTTGAACAGGATGTGAAAAGAGTCCAAGTAAAGCCAGGTCACGAGTCTGAGTGTTAGTTATAAATAGATGATCTACAAGACTGATAAATACAGTAACTAGAATCTAGTCCATGATAGAGATCTAACATTGGACATTGGATCCTTGTAAGGAGAACAGGATGTGATCTTGGACTAGATCTAGAATATTTAACTAGATTCTAGCCTATATCTAGATCTATAATTACTTGGAGTCCATGTGAATAGATGAAGGCCACTGCTAGTTAAGGTTAAGTAGCCTAGTTGGGGGTATTTACATCAAGATCTATATAGGTATAGGGCCTATATACACATGATTTCATTGTCATTTCTGCTGTGTTTTATTTCCAAGTTGGACTGACATTTTTAGCTGAGTTAGTTTGGCTTTCTCTGTTGTGAAATTTTTCCGTCTGAGTCTTCCAAACGAGAAAGACAAAGAGGTACGTAGGATGCAGCTGTCCAGGCTAGAACTAACATTGAAACTTGACATTTTCTTAAGTAATTGGCAACCTTATTTTATTGACAACGGCAGATTTGGTGGATTCAGGAAATAAAAGTAAGATTCGATTGTTGAATATTTCCTGATTTATACTAATCGAATTTTTTTTTCTCTGTAACTCTGTACTCATACTGTCTTACTGATTTATAATACGTCCTTACTTAGATGAATTATTTTCAGACTTTTTCACTAGCCTTTGTGACTGTAATATGTTTCAAGTATTTTAAACGACAGAGTGGCACTATGAAAGAAACACTGACGAGCAAAACAAAATGGTATTAATAAATGATGCATCTCTATTATTTTCCTTTTTTTTGTTTTGTTTGTGCAGTGTCACATCATCATGGCTATCCCGTTGAATGCTGTTCAAACGGACGTGGACCGGCTGATTGATTTGTTTCTCTCCCCTGATTTCAATCCAGAGAGTGAGTATCTACTTTCTGCACGTATCTACTTTTCTATATATGGCTATATATGGTAAACTATTTATGTTATGAAATTCTGAGGTTCTGGTAAGGCAGGGTATGCTGTCACTGACACTCATATATATATATATAACTTATAGCACATCTGGCATATTGTCATTATAACTAGTCTACTAATTTTGATGTGAGGCTTTAACCCTATTTGTACGTCCTGGGGTAATTTTAATACCCCCGCGGTTGTATTCTTCACATTTAAGAATACTTCTAGTATGAAGATCTCTTTGAAACTTTCGGTATTTCTCAAAAAATCATTTTGACAGCCTGCTATACAAAGCGCACAGATTGGATTAACGAGTAAATTTCCCCTTTAAAAGTGGTGGCAAAGCTTTCCCCACATCGTATGGATACGATAGTAAAACATGACATACGGATAGGAAGTAATGAATATGTATAAGCAGCATGAAAATGTGTATGGTATAGCAATAGAAGCATGGTATAAAGCTGAACATTTTCAAGGCTCTTACGGTTTTGGTTAAAGTCTGATAAAGATAGTATTTTTATTATCAGTTTTGTCCTTAAACATTATGCAGTCTGCAAAATATGAAAAATGAGACAATAAGATATTTTTACAAGCACAATGTTTAATGATGAATTTCTTTCTCTTTCTTTCTCTCCAGCCATTGATTTAAGTAGTTATGGGACTGATGAAGGATTCGGCTACGAGGCTGAGGCTGGAGAAGAGGTTGCGGATGGGGAGCTGGAAGGGGGAGATTGGAGACACGATGGTTTGTAACTTGATTGTCTATCTGTTCTGGTCATAAGAAACATTGTTTAAATTGTACATTTTGTCGGGAGAGAAAAGTGTGGCAGCTTCGCAGATCTGAAGAGACTAAAGAGAAAATGGCCTAGTTTGTGCACCCCGCTGAGTTGACTGTGGGACTTTGATCAAGAACGATGGAGATCAAGAAAAATGAAGCTCTTGTTATAAAATCAAGTTTCACAACTGAAATTGTTTGCGAGACTGATTAGAATGCAGTGACAGATAGTCATGTCTTAGTTAATAATTCCAAGGAAGTGGTGGTTGTTTCAAGGTCAGAGCGCAGGGGCACATTATGTATCTCTGACGTCACCTCAGGTGGTTTAGAAACTGCCAATCATTTTTTCCCCTTACCATGCATAAATGTCTTGTTTTAGTAGAGGTTTTACGGCGCTCGCAACTGCAAAAGGTTATATGAGCGCCAGAAGATTAGAGGTGTGGCAAGAGAGTAACAAACATAAAAAAGAATGAGGGGAGATAAGGACGATAGATGTTTGATAGGAAAGAAAGAGCAAACCACTCCAGAGCACCCACCATCCACCCACATAAATGTCTAATTTCATGTTGTTATGTTGATGCATTCTTGCTTGCATATAATAATATGTTTTATTAAGAATTATTTTTTTATCGTGAAATTCTGAATTTCCTTACCCTTGTAAATATTGTTACTGTTGGTTTTGGCATTTTAATTTTATACTTCAAAATATTGAAAGTCAGTAGTTTTCAGACACTCAGACATATACATATACATATACATATATATATATATATAAGTAATTGTAAAGTATTCTTTTTCTCTTCCAGAGTTTTTCCTCAAGAGATGTGGCAGAACATTGTCCAAACTGGGCGATGAATTTCAACGTTCAAGACCTGCGGCTCAAGGCAAGCTCATTGTCCACACACTGAATGTATAGATTTAGATAGGGTTTCTTTTACCAAAGTTGTCCAAAAAAAAGTGAATTTTAGGTTTTAGTTTTACACAAGTTGCATGCTATGAATGTACAATATGTGTCACAGCGTGGTGGAATCAGGTGCTCGTCAATTTTTTGGCACATGGAGTTATGGGTATCATCTTAAAAACTGTTTATTTGCCTTGCTTTTGGTGAAAAAAAATATCTATGTTGAATAGAAATCAAAATATTTGCTATTGAAGGAGGTCAGGGTCGTCTGGTTTCAGAAGTAAAATTAGTGAGAAATGGCCACCAAAGTTTGGTAATTTCCATAGCTTGAGAGTCATTGGAAACTGAAAATTTACAATGTTTGTTCCTTTAATCAATGTTTTTCAGTTGGTATAAGATGAATTGTGTTGTTTACTTTTTTTTGGACTGTGATGAATTTGTCTCAAAACTCCTTTATGTGTATGTATATGTGTATGTATGTGTGTGTGTGTGTAGTCCTGTATGTATGATGTCGCTACAGTATGATTTTTTTTTTTCAGCTGGTCCAGCTACATCTAGTCCAATAGATCAAATGAAAGAAGCCTTGGAGAAAGCAGTACAAGCGTCTGAAACAGAGGTGAGTCTTCAGGGTCTGTGGTTCGGCTCTCTCAAAAACAGGAGAAACTGGAAATGTCGGATGTGGCTGTACTCTGGATGGTAGGGCAGACTTGTGGATACGGAGCGCTCCTGGGTATTTAAAAAAAAAAAGATTAAAAAAAAAATAGGGGCTCCTGAGCTGTCATCAGATTCTGTTCTTTGACCTGCATCTGTGGTGTGAGGGTTGGATTCTGCATTGTTGTACACACAGAAGACGTAAGTTCGATTCTTGAGAGGGGAGGTTTTTTCTAAAATCGAGTTTCTCCATGTGTCTTGTGGGAGGTGTATCCCACTCAGCTCTGGTTAGCCTTGACAGGCAGGCTTGAAGAAACCTGGTTCCTTAATCATCTAATTGTAATTGTAGTAATAGGGGGCGTTAAACACTATTTGTTACAAGATGGAATTGTTATCAAATTATATGCTGGGTGACTGCCAGGCCCCGGGAATCCTGGGGGCCCAGTGAATCTCCCGGGAATTTGAAAAAAATCGCCGAGATCCAGGAATGCCCCGGGAATTTGAGGAAATCTGTAAATTGCCCCGCGAAATTCTCTGGAAAATACATAAATGTTCTCTAACATTTGACAACCGAATTGAATAACGTCCTTGGGTTTATTTTTCCCACTCTCGATTGTGATGTTCATACGTTTCATGCGAACAGGCGGCTATGGCGGCATGCGGAAGTGTATATTGTGGTACCGATGCTCAATATACTTTCGGTTTCGTTACCACCCGGAAACTTGCCGGTAGCAGTCTGATTAACGCAGCTGTTGTTACATGCAGGTTGCACATTACAAACGCTGTGTCGCCACGAACATAAATCAGTATTTGTCCTGCACTATCACTTGCGGGAAAAAAAAGAAAGAAAAGAAAGTTATACAAGGGTCTTGTCGGGCTCGCCATCGTGACCGGTCAGAGAACCTGTGCCTTCGCATCACATTGTGAGTATCAGCGATGGTTGGGGTCACCAAAGCTCATTCAAAGTCTGAGCGCTGTGAAATATAGGACTCCGGAATGGGGGGATTATTGATGTTTAAAAAAAAGATACATTGGGGGGAGGGGTGGGGTTGAAGGCAACACCGGATGACAAAAACTGAACTACTGAACTTGGAAGCAAATTTAGTGTTTAGAATTTTGATTATTACTAGAGATGGCTGCAAAACGTGTATTGGTGCAGGCCTTGTGTGGAATAGGGATCTGTCATTACTCATACCTTGTAAGCAGTGTTTTTTAATCTAAGGGTTTGCGTTTCATTGGATGGGTGATAGTACGTTTGTTTAATTATCTTTGGTGTTTTGTTTATGGAAGTGTGACCTCATCAAGTGTATGCTTTTTTCTTGTCCCCCCCCTCTCTCTCTGTGTCTGTCTCTCTCTTTGTCTCTTTTTTCTGTCTTTCGTTCTCTCTCTTGTGATAGTGTATTACTTGTATTTTATGTATCTATATTTTAGCTTTCTGTTCAAGATTCGCAGATTTTCAGTGTCACTGCATCTTGCCCTCCCACAGTTCTTACACCTCTCACAATGAATAGGTGTACTTGAGCCAATCAAGTTATTACTCTTCTTTGAGTTTGAGCAGTAATTTTTGTTTTTCACATTTATTATATAAATCTTGACATCCAAACGGATTCTTGGCAGTATGACAGTCGATATTCTGGTTCTATCCCTTTTCTCAAGCTCAAAACAAAATTAATTTTTATGTAGGCTAGTTTATATATATATAGCCGAATATGATTTGATGAGGGGAAAATATAAATAAGTAAGAACAGACTGAAATATGTAAGTCACACAGTGTGACAGTATCCCAGTGCCACACTGACATGTTCTTGACTGGATATAATGTACCTACATAGGTGTGTGTGTGTGTGTGTGTGTGTAAATTGAGGTATGCACTGTCGTTGTTACGTAACATGCCCCTGGAAAACGGATGAGGCCCCCTGGAAAATTGAGAAGCCAGGTTGGCAGTCACCCTGTATGGGAAAAAAAGAGTTTAGAGACAATGTTGTTCCTACAAGTTTATGAGCCCGTGCCGGTGTGGTTTTTTCTACTTTGTTAAAAAAAAAAAATTTCTTTCGCAGGGCTCGAACACACAACCATCTAAAGAAACAAAGGAGAGAGCCTGGGCCATATTTAAAGGGGTGATGGAGAACGCTGTGTCTGACACTGTTTTCAAAGATGCCTACCAAGAACTCGGTGCTTTCCTGATGGCCATTCGCGGAGTTCGACTAATGGGGGAGGGAGTGCGGGACCTGGCAAGGGATCTTTCTTTGCGCTACATTCGTGACAGACAGCTGGACCAAAGCATTCAGCGGATGGGAGGAATGGTAAGTGGACTTAACTCACTCTGCATCTCGCGACCCCAGTGCTTTCTTGTCGTATCTCCATTTTTTATAACAGTGAAAACAGTTCATAACAAAGAGTGAGTTTAAGAAGATGTCACATTTTCACTGTTAAAAAAGGGAGATACGACAAGAGAGTACGGAGGTCGCGACCTGGTAACTTAACGGTACAGTTGCGCCCCCCCCCCCCCCCCCCCCCCCCAGGGCAGTGCTACTGACTGAAGTGTCTTTAGGCCATTCCCAAAAGGGGGACATTAACATATTCTTATGCACAGTAGAATTGTAAATGGGCTGATTTATCAATGTCATGCTCGTACTGTGCCGGAACAACATAGGGGGAACTACTGCCTTTTCTTTCCTCATCCTTACTGTCGTCAGTTTTCCTCTTCTTCTTTTGTATATTTGTCACTTTCTTGTGAACTGCTATTTCCGGGGTGACTTGACAGTCGAAGCAAACTTTGTGCTGTTGAAGCTAGAGAGGTGAGCAGAGTAAGCCTGATTCTCTGTATGGACTTCTCTGTTGACATCCACCCCTTGGCGCTCATATGACCTTCTGCAGTTGCGAGTGCCACAAAACCTTACTGAAACTAATGGTACAGTTAGTGAGACCGTTTCACTCCTGTTATCGTCTGCTAGCAGGGATAGCTGACTGTTATTGTGCTCCTGTCAAGTTGTTTTGATGTGAGTTGTGGGTGGTTGGCAGGTGCACTGGTGTGGGCTTGATGGTTCATTCCTATCAAATATTTAAAGTCCTTATCTTCCCTTCTTCTTTATTGGTGGGTGGTTGGCGGGTGCTCTGGTGTAGTTTGCTTCTTCTTTCCTATGAAACATCTATCATCCTTATCTCCCCTTCTTCTTTTTTATGCTTGTTACTCTCTTGTAACACCTCTAATCTTCTGGCGCTCTTATGACCTTATGCAGTTGCGAGCGCAGTAGAACCTCTCTACTAAAACTAAAACTCTTCTTTATTGTGTTTGTTACTTTCTTGTAACACCTCTAATCTTCGGCACTCTTTTATGGCCTAAGTGTTGCAAGTGCTATAAAACACTTACTGCAACAATTTGTGGAAGATTGTTATCGTATTTCTCTGTGTCTTGGTCAACTTTTTTCAACTAACACTTTTTTTTGTTGTCTTTCCCAGGAGGCCCTGATGGCTCATGAACTGGACTGAACTATGGCAAGCAATATATTTATATATATATATGTAGATGTATATATGTCTGTATGGTCTTGAAATTTATGTTTAAAAGTCTCTGATTTTTTTTCCAAGCATACATGACAAATTAGTGTGTGTTTTACCACATTGAAGAAGACAAATAGCTCATGCAAAGAAAAAGGATAACGACCAAGTCATGCCATTAACTCTTTTGTTACAAGGCGGCTGGCTCATTTGTGTCCGTAGAGTTAATTACTTGCCGGCAGTCTCCTACTATAAGACTGCAAAATTTAACTGCAATGATGTGTTTCACTTTTAAGTCATTTTTTAAAACTTTAAAAAAGTGTTTGTTGTGGGTTTTAAAAAAAAACACATGCTGGCAGCCCTATAGTAAATATCAAATGACATGAATCACTTCATGATACTATTTATAAGGTGTTTTTAGACTTTAAGTTTCTACCTGTCACATTATTTTTACCTATCATTCGAGTGGTAAAAAAAGCTGAAGGATTCACTTCTTTTACCCACTCACCCACGTTGTTGAGAGGTAGGCCTACAAAGTGGCACTGTGTTCACATACTCACCTTTGTGGTCTTATTGACGGAATGTTGAAATGTTGAGGGTTTACTGAATGGCTGTGCTGTAGGGGTCTGCTGTTTTGTCAGCACATGCAAAAGAGTTCGATTTCAGTATTGGGAGGTTTTTTTAAAGACTATCTGTTGGTGTGCTGGGACATTATATTCCTTTAGCTTTTGGTGAAAAAAAGTAGTTCTGATGGGGAGGGTTGAAACAGCCGGATTTTCGTATTTCTAATTTCTGAATGATCTAAGTTGTTTCCCGGGGGGGGGGGGGGGGGGGGGGGGGGTAAAAACGTCACAATTACCGTTTAGTGTTGAAAATTTATTACATTTGTTGGGATTTAGTGTGGGGCAAACATAAACGTTGAGGAAATATTTTCTTCTTTCGTGATTGCCTAGTAGACATTAGTGGATATCTTGAGGATAGTTTTCTATCTTGATGGCACAATTTCTTGTACTTATTACATATAAGTGGACTGTTTAATTTAGTACCAGATGTTGTCACCTGAATGGTGAATCTTGGAATGTTACTGATTTGGTTTCAGAGAACGGCTTCTGTATCTTGTCAATGAGGAGGAAGGAGGAGATTTTTTTTCCCAAGTGGTCAAAACTGATGAAACAAATTTTCGTGGTGCAAAAACTACATTCCATTGGAGAAAAAAAACAACTAAATTATATTTTTAATATCCAAATATCCGTTTGTTGAATCTTTTTTGTAAACTTGACACAGGACTATTTTCCTCCCCTACCTGTAAGTGACAAATGTAGATTTTCAATCAATATTGTGACTTGGCTCTTCCCTGACAGGCTGAAGGAACTGTGTTCGCCATTATATATATATATATATACACATGTGAGTTGTGCTCTATGCATAGCCGGCTACATTCACAATTTGCTCTGATGTGGTATTTTTCACGGTGTTATTTTCCATCCTTTTAAGTGATCTCTTTATGGTCAAACGGGGCATTTTGTTTGAGAAATATGTCGTCGCCACAGAAATATTTTGTCCAAAGTGTAGGCCTATTTAAGGGAAGACCCGGGTCGGCCATCCCAGGCAATATCGATACAATTTTTCACAAATATCCAACTTTTGTTTTTTGAGGAAAAACATCCTTTGACATCTGTTCTATCGGGTCACAATGAAGAAACAATTGAAAAAACACCCTAAATAACTTAAAAGGGCGTTTGAAAAGTGCAAATTGCTCTAAAAATCCTTTTGAAATCCCTGTTTTTTCTGTTTTTCTCAAAATCTATTTTTTGACATATGTGATCTCCTGGGTGCAAGGAGTTTTCAAAAACTACTAAAGCCAGAAGCTTCAAATTGGCGTACAGGTGCTTTAAGATCGATTCTGGGGATCTATGTGAGGGAATTGGGCAATATTAGTAACTTGAGGAAATATTCAATTTTTTTGTAATATATACCCTAAAATTTCGTCAACTGATTCTAGGGGGTCCAATGACTTTGGGCTCCCTTTTTTAGTTTTAAAGATAGGTCAAAATCCTCACATGAATCCCCAGTTCATAGGTTTGTACTTGTGTGCCAAATTTCAGGCTGATAATTCAATATTTACTATTAAATTCTTCTGCACTAAGAAACTGGTTTGAAAATCCAAGATGGCCGCCATAGAGACCCATTTTTCAGAAAAATTCAACAAATCCCCCCGCCCCCAGTACAACCTGTTTACCCATGAACTTCTTGCACAATTACATGAAAGTGAATAAAAGTCATTCGTTTAGAAAATTTTTCCGGGAGAGTACGTCTCCCCTTAACTAAAGACTGCACTTTGGACAAAATAGTTGTGAGGCAATGATGTGTTCTGTAGCCTGTGATTATAAATAACCTCGCATTATATATATATATATTGTTTTGATATTATTGTTGTTGTTCCCATTCGTCCAATAGACTCTATGCAATTTTCTATTTTTGATTCAGGGTAAGCATGGTGTGTATCATTTCATTTTCTGCACACTCACACTTTGCGGACCCCCGGGCGCGGTGCCACTGACTGAAGTGTCTTTAGACCATTCCCAAAGGGGGGACATTTCTCTTTCATGCACGGTAGAATTGTAAATGGGCTGATTCATCAATGACACGCTCATAACTGTGCCTGATCTACAACAGGGAACTGCTTTTTCTTTCCTAATTTTTCTTCTACTTCTTTTGTATGTTTGTCACCCTCATGTGACCCACTATTTCCAGGGTGCCTTGATAGTCAAAGCAGACTTTGTGCTGTTGAAGCTAGAGAGGTGAGCAGAGTAAGTCTGATTCCCTGCAAGGACTTCTCTGTTGACATCCACCCCTTGGCGCTCATATGACCTTAAGCAGTTGGGAGCGCCGTAAAACCTCTACTAAAACTTTTAAAAAACTAAACACTTTGCGGCCTTGTGCCTTTAGCATTATGATAACCTGCTGGTCTGGCTTGAGGTGAAGAGATAAGACAAGATAAGATAGAATAACTTATAAGATAAGACAAGACAAGATATGATTTTTCTTGATCTTCACAAACCGTAATTACTGTAGCATGGTAAAAACATGCACAAGCACTCCTTAACACACATACACATATATACACACTCACACACACACACAAACATACGCACACTCTCTCCTCTCTCTCACACACACACACACACCTATACAACTGTTTGCCTTAACTTTTCTTTGTTAATGTTAATCGACTGCTCAATAATTATTGCCTGTTTTCCCTATGAGACATTTCATATTTCTGCATATTGTTACCATCTGTAGCAAAATGATGGGGACATAAAAACACCTGCATGTGAAAGAAAAATTTTTAACTTGTGCCATAACTATATATATATGTCATTACGAATGGGGCTTCTGGTGGTGATGGCAATTATTTGGAGTGAGCTGTTGGATGGAAATATTTTAGATTTAGACAAAACAAAAGTCTGGGTGGAAAAATGAATCTATCCGATTATAGTCAACCGAACTGTTGCAGTGTATTTACTTAAGAGATTGTTGGTATAAATTTAAAAAAGTTTTTGTTTCATCTTGTGATTTAAAGTATTTTTTATGTGACAAGAAATTTAAAACTGGAAAAAGTGTTTTTTAAAAAATGGCAGACTTACCTCAAGAGGCTTAAACATGCACAATGCTGGGCCATGGGCTCTAGTCTCTGGACATTACTTGTAAACACTCAAATGTATGTTTTTTGTCCCACTTTTAAAGCATAATGATCACCCATCAGGATAATGCCACTGACTGAGTTTGTCTTTAGGCCATTCCTGAGGGGGGGATAGTAACATGTTCTTAGGCTCAGTAGAATTGTAAGTGGGCTGATTTATCAATGTCATGCTCTTACTGTGCTGGAGGGGGAACTGCTGCTTTTTTCTTTCCTCATCCTTACTGTCGTAATTTTTCCTCTACTTTTGTATGTTTGTCACTCTCTTGTGAACTGCTATTTTGTGGGTACCTTGATAGTCGAAGCAGACTTTGTGCTGTTGAGGCTAGAGAGGTGAGCAGAGTAAGCCAGATTCCCCGTTTGGATTTCTCTGTTGACATCCACCCTGTTCATATGACCGTTTGCATTTGTGAGCGCCATAAAACCTTACTAAAATTAATCTAAAGAGCATAATGAGTTATTAACGTTTTTGTTTCCCACAGGGAAATGTACAAGGCTCATGCTTATGCTTTTTGTAAATATACTGGATGATATGTCTTTGACCTTGCCTGTTGAAAGTGTTGCTGGAGAACGTTGTTCCGAAGGAAAGTGTCCGCTGTAGGGGCCTGTATGAAAGTGTCTGCTGTAGGGGCCTGTATGAAAATGTCCGCTGTAGGGGCCTGTATGAAAGTGTCCGCTGTAGGGTCTATATAAGGCCACTATGTGATTGGTTGAACCTGTGTTGTTTGGTGGCGTTGGTGGCCTAGTGGTAAGGCTACTGGACTCGTAATCGTAAGTGGCTGTGCTGTGTATTGTTTGTCCACAAATCCATGAATTGTTTCTTTGTGAACTCAGACTGTGCCTTATCGATGATTTGGATGTAATGATAATACAGTTGGACATATCGGATCATCCAATAAAATTTGAAGTGTTTTTATTTTAAATATGTGTTTTTCTACTGTTGTCAGATTGTTCCATGTGGGGGGTTGGCGGGTGCTCTGGTGTGGTTTGCTCCTTCTTTCCTATAAAAAATCTATCTTCTCGATCTCCCTTCCTTCTTTTTTGTGTTTGTTACTCTCTTGTAGCACTTCTAATCTTCGGCACTTATATGATCTTATTGTGTTGCAAGTGCCATAAAACTCTTACTAAAACAAAAAAATATTGTTCCCGATGTATCCCTATTGTTCACAAAGGCTTATGTGAGTCAGTTTATGTACCCTTCTTTGGAATAGCATCTGTGGTTACGCTCTTTGCCCCTTTCATGGGGAAGATGTAAATTGGAGGCCCTGCTCACAAGTTTCCACAGGTTCTGAAAAGTTCAGGATTTAAAAATAATAAAAATTGCCAGTTGGCACCTTTGATAATTACAAACTGGTCTCTCAGTTCTGGCAAGTTCTCAACACATTGTCACAATCTCAGACCACAACAAGAAAGCTGGACATCTCACAGAAATGTAATACAAGTGTACAATCAGGCGCTCATCATATACATTTTTAGGCTCAACAAGTTTTTGGTATTTCAATCTTAAAGCCATACTCTACTTCTTGGCACCAAAATCTACAATTGAGTGATATTTACTTGTTTTTTTAAAATAATTTAAAATCAAGTGTTTTATTCAAGGGTTAAAAATATTCAATTCTGGGAATCATTATCAGTTGCAAATCACAGAAATGGCAAATTAGAGTGAAATCAGACTATCTGAAGGACCATTTTCAAAAGCTAAAAACTCGAAAACCATCCATGCTTTCTATAAACTAATCACATAATATTTGTAAATCTGCACACAAATCTAAAGAAAATGACGCTAGCTTTTCTTGAATTTGTAAACATTAATAATTTTATTACTTTTAGTAGAAGACTTGCATATTATTGAATGACAAAAATAGTCAAAATAGCAAAGTGAAAAAAAATGATTTAAAAATATTGTTTGACAATTAGAAAAAACTAGAGTCAATTTTTTTTCTGAAACAGTATGGTGCACTTAACCTCCAAATTTCAGGTCTTTATCTTGAATGATGTTTGAGTTTTTATAGCCAAGAAATGAACGTTTTGAGGAATGGAGCAAAAAGATCTCAAAATTGCTTTACAGCATTGTATTGGCTCTCAATGTTACACATTTTCTGGAGCCATCTCTTTGAAATAGAGCTTTTGGAGTACTTCCATTTGATTTAGCACATAATTTTCAAGGGAAGTTTCTTAAAATCCCAAAAAACATTGTCGGGACCCAAACTAGACCCATGTGTTGCCTTAAAGTATGTTCATATTCTTGCTGTTGATTTTGATTTTAAAATGCCCATCCATCTTGAATAGCAGAAGTCACAATATTTGCGATTAAGGGTGGGCGGTCACCTGGTTTCAGAGGTAAAATTAGTGAGAAAATGGCCGCCAATGTTTGGTAACTTTCAAAGGTTGAGTGTCCTAAAAAACTGTACATTTACATGTTTTGTTCCTTTGATCAACATCAAAAGAAAAATGCAATTTGTTGGAAAAATGTTAGTTTCTTCAATCTGATTATAATTTGATGAGCTCCTGATTTCACCAC